ATGAAGCGCGACGATCGCCGGCATTTCCACCAACCGGAGCGCGCGGTGCTCATGTGGCCGAGCAGCCCGCGCGGCCTTGAAGCGTCCGGCTTCCCCATTCGCGCTGCGGGCAGTCGGCTGCGCTACCAACGCAACCCGGCGCCTCCACCTCCTTCCCCACCACGCTCCCAGGGTTCAGCCCGTCCGATTTTTTTGTTTGTTTGTTTATAATTTAATAGTCAGAGGTCTCTTTTTTAAAAATTCTCACCAAGGGACATTTTTTCCATTGATTTCTAGAGGGGGGGGGCATCGATTGGTTGCCTCTTGCTCGCACCCCTCCCAGGGTTGGGGAACCTACAGCTGAGGTCCCTGCACTTGACTGGGACTTGAACCCCGGCTGCAGGCCCACCTCTGAGCGCTGAGCCAAAGCAGCCAGGCCCGGCTGGTGTTTTAGGGCAAACACTGAGATGCAGAATCTCCGCCCTGGGAAATGCTGACCCTTAAAATGCGGTCTGCACTTTTCAAATGGGTAACAACAGGCCTGGGGCTAAGAAACGACAGCATCCAGCATCGTAGACTGGAGGCGGGGATCGGAGCTGAGTGTCTGCTTGGGAAGCATCGGGTAATGGGAAGTGTTTTCCCACCTCCGCCGGCTCCCCCGGTTCATGGCTTTGAACAGTGCTTTTTGTTAGACGCTGAATGGTGATACTTCAGAGCTCCCGTCAGCCCAGTCAAGTCACACGGTTTAAATTGATTTTCAAGTAGCGTTGCCTTCATTCCAGTTCCGTTGGTATTTTGCACGTAGCCACAATAAAGTGTCTGGAAAAGAAGTTAATACAAGGAAGCCAAGTCTGTAGGTTCCTAGTGTGTAGGTCAAGCAACCCACCTGATCCTGGAATGCTGAGAGGTCCGGACACTTGGGACCTGCTTCCTAAAACACACCTCCCGACACCATGCGCATGGGGAGCCTTTTAAGTTATGCAGAAAAGAAGGGCCTTTCCTTTCGTCTCAACACCACGTTGAACATTTGTTCACCCAGCTCGGAGGTGGTGAGGAAGGACGGTGGTGGGAACCCACCATCATTCTGCCTCACCGGAGCCGTCTGAAAACCTTTCCCCGTTGAACCGGACATAAGCATCTGCAAACTGCACACATGAGTGTTTTCTCCTCCAGGAAAAGATTTTAAAAAAATAGAATAGTCTGCAGACCACGTTCTCTGAGAGCTGTCTCTAGGCCGCGTGCGACAGCCGGTCGTGTGCTGATGGAATTCTCTCATTCCTCCTCCAGGTGAAATGCACCTGCTGAGAACGTCCGATGTCGCCCAGGCCACGCTCGCCAGCGTCGCCCCCATGTTCACTGTGGTGAGTACGTGCCAGGCGCCCGATAACGTAGAGCGAGCACTTCTCCTGCGTCGTCTCTCGTCCTGGGGTTGTGCTCAGCCAGTGGGACTTCACTGACGACTCCAGAGCCCCGGTCAGCCTGTCCAGCAAAGGAAAAGGGCGTTTTAACCCTTCACTCAGAACTGACTTTAACCCAAACTAGGGCAGTCGGGTTTCTATGTGTATTTCAGTGTTTGTGGGATATCATAGTACCATATGGTATGATACCAGAGAGTTTACTGATTTGGGAGAAAAAATCTTTTGTTTATTATCTCTCTTCAGACAAAATTTGACAAAGGAGGAAACGTGACGTCTTTTGGTGAGTATCTTCAAGTTTCTTCTGCATCGTCTCTTTTTAATCACTGAATGTGAGCCTGACGGAAATCAAGGAATGGCAGGCGGTGCTGTGAACGGAGCACCCTTAGCGGGGATGGGGGTGTGCAGGCAGCGGTCTTTGTGCAGCGTGTCCGTCTGTCCTCACTGGGGCTGCGGTGCCTGGACCGTCCTCAGGGCCACTCGCGCTCTGCCCGGACGTTAAAGGCACAGGAACACTCTTCCCTCCGTCTCTTGTTCTCTCCTGGTCCGCAGCCATGCCCGCTGCGTTCTGGGTGAGGCGGAGTCCCAGACCTCCACCAACCGTGGGTGACAGGAGACGAGGGGCGGGTGGGCGCTGGGCTCTGCTGGTCACTCTGTTTCTAAAGTGAAACAGATCCCTTCATGGTCTGACCTCGGAGGCAGGCTCGGGTCTCCCACGCTCCCCTCCAGGACCCCTCCTGCTGTTCCTGAGGTCCTCGGGGACATTTCGGTGTTTGTGCCCAGTAGCTCCTTCGAAGGCTAGCTTTAGCCTGAGTGTGTCCTTGAGGTAAAAACAGGCATTTCAAACACTCCTGTTATCTGTGGTTTCTGGTAATAACAAAACTATCTTGGTGGTGGTGGGAGGGTGCTCTGCTATGAAGACTAAGCTCTTTGCTGGATTAAACCAGCCACTTCTTTTTCTGAAAACGTTTCCTTTTCAGAAAGGAAGAAAACGGACTTATACCAAGAATTAGGTCTTCAGGCCAGAGATCTGCGGTTCCAGCACCTCATGAGCATCACCACCAGGAACAACAGGATCATCCTGAGAATGGAGGTGAGGGTCCCTCCCAGCGCTGTCAGCCACGGGTTAAAGTGACTCTGGAACAAACGCAGCTCTGAGGCGGGTAGGGGGGCATGTGGCAAAACGAAGCTAGCCGACATTTAATTGTGTAGGTGGCGTGTACATGGGTGTTCACCGTACTTTTTCTGTATAAAAATTTCATAATAAGATGTTGGAAAGGTGTGAAGAAACCACCCTGTAGGCTTTGTATCACTGACACGTGGCACAGGCTCCTTCCTGTGTGGCTCTTCTGACATAACGGACACCGTCTTTGTAGAACCCTCGCTGTCACGCCCTCTTTCCTCGCAGTACCTGAAGGCGGTGATCACCCCCGAGTGTCTCCTGATCCTGGATTATCGTCACTTAAACCTGGAGCAGTGGCTGTTCCGGGAGCTCCCCGCGCAGCTGGCCGGAGAGGGCCAGCTGGTCACGTACCCTCTGCCCTTTGAGTTCAGAGCCATGGAAGCACTCCTGCAGTACCGGGTAAGCCCGTCCGTGCAGCCGGCTGCATCGGTCCTGGTCCAAATGCTGCCAAGGAGGAAGACACGTTAGCAGGCCAGGACGGCGCAGGCGAGGGCGGGCACAGCTGCCGGGCGGGAGGCGCATCTGCTGGAATGGGTGCCATCGGTCTCACTGCTATTCCCGCAGCAGGGGCGGGTCCCGGCGCCCTCACCGCTGGCACCGCTGTCTCAGTGCGCACCCGCCTGGCGCCCCATGCCGCGGGCCTGGATAAGAGCACTTCTGACTTCACACAATTTATTTTTAAGTCCAAGTTGTAGTTTAGTTTCCAAGAGTTTTGTTCATAGGAGTTTGGACTGTACTCTGTTTACAAAGAGCAGAAGTATTTACCGAATGGCAGTTCGAGTTGTAACCACGGAAGGGCGGATTTCCTTCCACTTAATCGATCCTCCCGCCTTTCGCGACAGGAGTTAGTCCCCCTCAGGTGCGAGCCTGGTAACAGCATGTGCCTGGTCCTCTGTCCCCTGCAGACGGGTGGTTGGGCCACCGGGACAGCCGTTCCTGCAGGCCGCACTCTGCAGCGTTACCCGCGGCCCCAGCTGTTCCAGACGGTGTCTGACCCCAGGGCTCACTGGCCCTGAGCGTTCTGAGAAGGTTGGCTTCTCACGCGAGGTCGTGTTGCTCTAGATCAGCAAGCTGCAGGGGAAGCTGCGCCTGCTGGAGCCCCGGATCCTCGACACGCTGGAGGCGTTAGTGGACCCCAAACACTCCTCTGTGGACAGAAGCAAACTGCACATCCTGCTGCAAAACGGCAAAAGGTGAGCAGGTGTCCGGCACTTCCCTGTCCTGGTTCTCAGTGACGTGTGTAGCATCAGCCCAGACACAAAATCCGTGGGGTCATCACTGGTCTTTAAAGTGCCAGCGAGTGCTGCTGAGGGTGACTTCCTGTCGGGGCGCCGAGTGGAGGGATGGGTGATGGGGCAGGAAGGCTGCGTCCGGTTCTGTCCAGGGCCTGCTTGGGGGCTCAGTTCTCGGTCTGCGTGTAGAAGGCAGAGCACCGCTGACACATCCCTGTCCACCGCCTGTGTGCGAGGGGGGAATGTCCTCGTGGTGACACGGATCCGTAGTCCATGGCGCCATCACGCCCGTGCACCTGTCCCTCAGCCTGTCCGAGCTGGAGACGGACGTCCGGATGTTCAAGGAGGCGATCCTGGAGATCCTGGACGACGAGGAGCGGCTGGAGGAGCTCTGCCTCAGCAAGTGGAGCGACCCCGAGGTCTTGTGAGTGGCCTTCCTGCCCCGACTCCCAGGCCGGGCTCCTTCTCGGGGCACTGGTCCTTCCCTCCCGGCACTGGGCCCTCCCTCAGGGCCCTCGGGCTCGCAGCTTGGGGCTCCTGCACTCGGTGTTCCACTGTTGTCTGTAGGTCAGGGCCAGAAACTCACACAGACGCTTTGTAATGTGCACAGAGGACGGCCTGCAGGTCTAAGCGTCACCTCTCTCCCATAAGGAAGCTGAGACGACAAGAGCTGGGCCCAGCAAGGCCTAGCAGCAGCAACGGGGACACGCTGTCGCCCTTCGCTGTGTCCTGGGCAGGTCTCCTCTGCCGGGCGGCAGCGTGGCTGGTGGAGCTCCCCCCGCCTCCTGGGGGCGGACAGCTGTGTCCCATCCTCACCACATCGCTCTGTGCGGAGCCAGGGCCTGGGGCAGGGAATCTCTGTGCCTTCGTGCTCGGCCTGTGGTTTTGGTTCACTGGTTTGTACTAACTTGTACCCGTCCGTCCGCGTCACACGTCTGGACGTCGCTGTCACGGGTAGTGGGGCTCCCTCCCTGTGCAGCAGGGGCCTGTGCGGGGACTTCCCTGTGTGGTGCTCGGGGTCAGGGATGGCCCTCAGACGGCCGTGACAGACAGGGCAGGCGAGTGGGCTCGCTGGGAGCGAGCGTCCTGTGCTCACGCGGGGGCTGGGTGTGTGGCGCGTGGGCGCTGCTTACGTGGCACTTGTGATTGGAGTGAGCAGAGCAGCGCGGGCATCGACCACGCGGAGGAGATGGAGCTGCTGCTGGAGAACTGCCACCGGCTGGCCGAGGACCTGGCGCATGCGGCCCGCGAGCTACGGGCGCTGATCGACGACTCGCAGAGCGTCAT